ACGAACCCAAACTCGAGCGCTTTCGAATAATTGACTATTTCCCTTTGTTCTCCTGAAGAAGAATAGTTAACTGTTACGAAAGCGCTCGAGTTTTGGGTCTTATTTTAAGTTTATAGGATATCTGAAAATATGAAGTACTGTATATATATTGTCTATGAGGGTTATTGGCCAGTAGGTGGCTCTGACAGTGAACCAAACGCTTCGCCATTATGTATCATTATAATTGAACGATTTCCACTTCTCCTCGTACATTTTTTTTTTTTTTTATATTTGTGCGTTTTTTTATTTTTCTTTGGGATTTCCGAAGTATGACTCGATATATTAACTAATTTATTTATGATAAGATGGAAACATAAATTTTGATAAAAGAAAAGGTTGAAAATTCAAGTTTCGGTTACCAAAATGTATCGTAGGAGAAAAGAAAAATATCCGACTTCTTTTGGTTTTTTGTTTTATAATTTCGCGCAAAGCTTCATAAGAGCTATCTATGTTATATATGTCTCTGTAATTTTGAACTGAAAGACAGCTAGTCAACAGCACCGACCATTAACTCTTGGGCTAATATTACCTCACAAAATAAGGAGATTTTACTGTCACTTTTATAACGCATCAACGGCCACCATGTAAGGACCGAATTTTTGCAGCAACGGATCATGAAGGTGAATCCTTGGAATTATATTCAAAAACATGCTAACCGTTAAGTCACGTTGACTCGATTCTATGGGATAGAAAAGTGAAGGGTGGAGAATGGAGATCCTAAAAGGTGCCAAAAACGTAGGGAAAAACGCCGCTCCCAGGAATCAAATTTCTAGTCCCCCCCCCCCCCAACATTTAAAAAAAAAGGAATCTAAAACTCTGCAAATAAAATGAAAAATAAATATCGTAAATATAGTGTCAAAGTTTGGATCAACCGCTCGTGTTCCGGTCGTCCAGCAATTTATGTTCATAATAATCTTAGCTTTTTTTTTTTTACCATAAATCATTATGTAAAAACGTGTAGCCTCGATTTAATAGGAAATTGATCATTTACTACTTTTAAGTGCGATGTTTCGAGGGGGAGCCACTGAGCAATCTAGGATTTGTTCCGATTCTGTAATTTCTCGCTTTCTCAGCTAAATTCTCTTTCCGTAAAGAGATCTTTTAAAATTAGCTCAAGTTGTTTTGTTATTTTTGAAACGTTCCCCTAAAGGTGCCCTTGTTTCCAAGACACAGGAACCTAAAATAGTCGTAATTTTGAGTTCACATGTGAAATTCTTCAACGGTTCTGAAGCTATTCCTTCTTAGTAAAAGAGAGAAAAAAAGAAACAGCCGTGGAAACAAATAAACAATGAAAACTGCTGGCTAAGGAAAACGACTTGCTTTCGAGGAGAAAAATAACTTTTTATCTTTCATGGTTTCCTTTATGAACAAAGGATGTCTTCAGTTTATTTCTACATCAAAGTTAAGAATTAACTGTTTAAGATTACATGGTGAGTTAATCCTTAATCTTTTGTGGTTCTCTTTAAACTTTGAGCGACAACCCAGCATAGCTTGAACTATTGGAGCCTCATATAATCACAGGACTACGGGTGTTACATTGCCCTAATATGTCTTCGTTTTTGACGGAGTCTTGTTTCAACCAATCTTTATGTCCAACTTTTCGCTGACTTTTTATTATTAATGGGGTAAATAATATCCACGTTTTGATTGATTAAATTAAATATTAACGGCATAGTGAAAGCTCAGATGTTTTGAAGAAGTCAATATTTGTTCAAAAATTTATAGAAATGTCCAATAAAATCTATATAAATATAATAGTACTGTCTGTTGTACGTTCATCTAACTACTTCGCATGGTGTGGAAGGATCTTCACCAAAATTGGATCCATGCGGGGGGTACATAAAAAAATTCAGTTTGTTTGTTTTGTGGTTTTTATGGCCGTTTGTGCGTTTTTTACCACTACTTCGCCCCTTTAAATGGATCTTCACCAAATTTGGCATGAAGGTTTGTTGAATCCATACAGAGATACATGCAAATTTGTGGTTTCACATTTTGTGTTTAGCAGTTTTTATGGGCGTTCTTTTTTTTTTACAATTACATATAAGGGAAGCAGCTTTTCATGTCCTAAGGTAACATTTCATTAATCATAAATTTACATAACTTCCGTCCAAGAGACGTGTACTCCAGCTAGTTATGGATAAAATTTATATTAACAAATCTTTTTGTTATTAGTTGTTTTTTTCACCATTTGAAGATTTAAGTGATTTTGAATGGGGAATCTACTATAAAGTCTGGAAGAAATTTTTGTAAGATAATGAAGTTAGCTATAAAAAAAAAACTTCGATTGAAACACCAGTAATAACAATCCCCCAAGAAATGTTTGAGATTAGTGAATTATTCAATAGGAAATAAGTGAATATCTTGTTACCATTCTAATAACTACTCTTATTAAAGGAATTTATAATTCTTATTTTCTGAACTTTGCCTATTTTTCATTGTTTATTGCCTGTTTGTTTGTTTTCAAAGCTACACAATTGGCTATCTATCTCAACCCATCTTGGGTTTCAAGTCCGATTTGTAGTGATATAAGCCCTCAGATTTACCGCTGAGACACATTGGTATTAAAGCTATCTGTGTTGGCCCACCTCTGGAATAAAACACCAAATTTTACCGTTATAAACCCTCATGCTTTCAATTGAGCCATCAAGGGTTAAGGCTGAACTTTATCAACTGATGATATGAATGTCCAGAAGCCTAGTATCAAATATATTTCATTCAGAGGTTAGAACTTATTTCTAGGTAAATTAGTTGTAAGGAGAGCCAGATTTGACTGCCGGAATACTGGAAGGATTCTTCACGCTTAGTTTTCAGGAATCCTTGTCCTTCGAGCTCATCGGAGGAGGGGGCAGTACAAAAATAATTCTCCGCAGTCGTTTTTAATTCCCAGTCTGCTCCTACGTGAAAGCGTACAAAAACTGAAAACGGAGAAGAAATCAACAGCGTATGTAGGCGTAGGAACCGGGTGTCAAGGAAATAATGAAGAAAGCATTGAGAGCCAGAAAGATTAATAATTTGACACTCACAGGTGCATTTCGATAACACTTATTATTATGGTTGTAATCGTGGTTAAACATTCGACTTTCGTCTGAAACTGTAATAGTCGACAACTACCAAACTTAGGATCAGGGCCGGATTAAATATGATGGGGGGGGGGGGTTCTAAATTTCCTGGGGCTTTCTATTTGCATATTCAGTTTCTTATTTTACGGACCTAACGCCCCTTTGCCCAATTTTAAACACTGGTCCGATTGCAAATTGGAACTTTTTAAATAATATAACAAATTGTCAATTTTGAAGTGCACATAGCGATTAAGTTGTTATTATTCATTTAATTGGAGTACGCCTTTATGCAAGGCGATTTACAGGGTTTCCAAACATCAATATGTAATGTTTCACTTATGTACAACATTACTGTGTAACAAACATTGCAGCCTCACGACGCACAAACTGGCAACAATATAATAACACAGCAAACAAAGTGAAAATAGAAAGACAACAATATTCCGCAAGACTTCAACCAAAACTAATAATAAAGACTGTGGAACTTACAATGAAAACACGTACATTGACAGGTGGCGCTTCAAATATACAAATCAAGCCAGCGGAACATGCTCACTGGGGACGCTCTTTACAACAAGAACTAAGTATGGGTCGTTTGTTTTGACAAACTAAAATGGAACTACACTTACTGAAATATCACTTATCTCTATCTGCAGCTTTGCTTATGGCAGGTCATTTTTCATAGTTTCAGTTTTTGTTGCGTAATCCCTTGTAATAAATAGATTAGTAAGACAGTTTTCTTACAACAGCTTTAGATATTTTGAATATTATATTTTTATTTATAAGAAAAATAGTATAATAATTATAAATGAGGAACACAACTTTTCAAATACAGTTATCTTTTATTTCAAATAGTGTTTTTTCTTTTTCTTTTTTACTGCGAGGTTAGGTTTTAGCAGCCACTTGTTGCTTTAACATAAGACAATCGTGAAATAGCCGTACTCATCATTTTTCGTAATGTCATACACTACATTTTTATACAATTATCCTTTTTTGTCTGCGGTGCCCCATTAGATATGGGGCTCCAGCCCCTAAAGCCCTCGCATTAATTCGGTCATACTTACGCTACAAACTAAGTTCTTATCTGGCATCAAAATGATAGTCTCAAAGTTTTCAACTTCGTGAATAAATGGTTTTACAGCTTATTATGCAAATTTTGTATTGGACAGGCTTACAACATAAGTAGTAGTAAATAGGCTTAGAACGCAAGTAGTAGTGGATAGGCTTAGAACGCAAGAAGTAATGGACAGGCTTACAACATAAGTAGTAATGGACAGGCTTACAACATAAGTAGTAATGGACAGGCTTACAACATAAGTAGTAATCAACCTAAAAAAAAGGCACTTCATTGCCCGTCTTCTGTCGGGACGGAGCCTTGCGTGGCCTAGGGGGTTAGCATGCCGGATTGTGAATCCGAGGGTGCATAGTTCGCATTATAAGAGTGGCAGTCACATCCTATTATTCGATTAGAGTAGCCAAAGATTTGGCGGTGGGAGTATTCTCTCTTGTCCATCTATTCAAAATGATGGGCGGATAGCGGAGATAGCCCTTTTGTAGCTATGCCTTAGTATTGGAAACTAAATTAAACAGTCAGAACGTAAGAAAATAGCAGGAAATTTAACTTTTTTTTTCTAGAATACTCGTTCCTCTGTTTGCAAAAGCCTTTTCTCCCTCACGAGTTCGGTATTTAATTTTTATCTACCCTCCCCCTTTTCCTCCAGGTCAAACTCAATATTTGCTTCTACTGCGCCAGTAACAAGTGCCGATACAGAAAAAAAACCAACAAAAAAAACAAGTAGAAAACAGTGAGTTTTGTTGGACATTTTACATTTTATTATTTCTGAAGAAAAACACAATAAAAACTTGTAAAATCGGTGTTTTAATAAATTGTTTTTGTGTGTTTCTTACAGCGAAGAAGAGGAGGAGGAAGAAGAAGTAAAGTAAGTTATTTCACTTCAAATACTGTTGTAAATTTATGATTTTTTTTTGATAAAACATCGATAACAATAAATAGGTTTAATCAAAAGTGACGTAGAATTTTAATATGAATTAATTCGAAATAAAAGGAAAGGTATGTTAATTTAAATATATTGCCTCATCGCTCAAGATTCAATCACATTTTTCTTCGACACTATGATCCTAGCCCTAATAACGTAACGATAGAAGAAAAACGTCGATGTTGTTAGGCTACTTAAGCCTAAGGTTTACTTCGACGTACGCAAAATGTCCATTAAATTTAAGATTCTACAAAGATCACAAAATGTGCATTGAAAATATTTTTACTGCAGTTTTATAACAGAACTAACTGAAGGTGTAACGATAAGAATAGTTATTAGTGAAATAACTTAATTTTTAACAGATTCTGTAAAGAAAAACTTGAAAACTCGAGCTCGGGAAATAAATCTAAGGGATATGGGAAGAGAAATGTGTTTACATCTAATACTGTTATTAGCGAACTATTTTTTTCTAAAAGTCCCTAAGAAGTTAAAAACTTTGTAAAATAGACATGATTATACTGGGTATTTTATAAGGGTGTTAAAAATTGCAGCTGAGAGATACACGGTCGTTTTATAACCCCACCAAGTTTCGTTTTTTTTTGTTTTGTTTTTCACTTTTTCCACACCATTTTCAGGATTCTGAAAGTTACATGCTTTTAAACTTTTCGAATTGTTAATATCCCACAAAAAACCTGTTTTGTTTTTATTTTCTTATCATAATATTGACGGTAAAAGTTGTTTTAAAAAGTATTGTGATCAAGTTACAACAACCCAATTGAAACTTTAAATTTATCAGTATAATTTGCTTCAAAACATTTTTCGTCGTCATCCAGTAGTTTGAAAGCTATGCCAAAAAAAGCTTTTGTTCGTATAATTTTAGCAATCTTTTCTGTATATTTATTGCCTTGTCTTAATAATAACTTAAAGGAGTTAATTTTATTTATAAACCTTAAAGCAGTTAACTAACATGACGTCATTCGGGTCATCTAAACGATGACATTTCGTTCATTTATTTTCTTTCTGACTTTCATTCAAAAATGTTTTGCCTCGATTTTTCCCTAGGTCCTCATCTCATTTCGTTAATTTATTTTCTTTCTGACTTTCATTCAAAATTTTTGCCTCAATTTTTCCCTAGGTCCTCATCTCAGCAGAAGAAGCCTGAGTAAGTGAAAAAAAAAAATGTCCCTGTTATTGGACTAGGCTACCGCTTAAACAAGCACAGTGTCGTTCATTTTTCCCCTCATGCATGGAAAGTTTTTGTTATGCAGTTTTGCGGATGGCGAATGTGAGATTTAAATTTCTGTTATGAACTGCCGACCCCCGAGCGAGCGGTTCATTAACCTCCTTCGTAATCTAACTCTGTTTCCGTAATTTCCTGTTGCAAAAATAAATAAATTATTAATTTGTTTTAATGAAGAAAACCGTGCTCTCTTTTTTTTTTTTTTTTTCGGTAGCGCCAACAAACTGTATTGTGATTGTTTTTAATCAATCTTTTAAGATAACTATGCCATTAGAAACACCGTAAAAAAAACAACTATAAATCTATATTTCGTGATCTTTTAAAGAGCGTCATTAATACTTGATGAAATACTTTTATAGCTACAAATTATGTAAAAATAGAACAAAGCTTCTATATTTTCTCCAAAGACGTTGTGCATTTCTTTCTTTGTTTTTTAAAATAATTTTGGAGATAACCGTTTTATTATTATGTTAAGTAAAACTAGCAGGTTATTCAATTATCTACTAAACCTAAACTAACTCTTTTACGGCAAATTTTATTTCAACCTTGAAATCTTTCCCCACGTTATTATTGGTATTTTAAAATAATGCTATCACAGTATTTCATGAACTAACGTTCTTTCTACAACGTTTTGTTGTTGATAAATTCAGACCCTATTGTTAGCTCCTAGAGTAAATGAACAGTTTCTATAATAATTATTAACAAACATTACAAAAAATAATACATTTTCGTAGCATACTGTTAGGCGATTAATTCGTTTTTTCTCTGTTCTTTAATTACAAGTTGTTGATCACTTTCATAAATGTAATGCCAAACAAAATCTACTCATTTATCAATTATGTTTTAGGTCATATATTGTTGGAAGAGTTAAAAACAACGTATCATATTTGTTATCGTGTAAACGTTTTTTTTTTCTAAGATGGCGAAGCATGATTATAATCAATTAAACTTGCCGTAAGACATTAGTAATAGGCCTATTATATTTCTAACACTACATTTTTTATTCGGTTCATTAGAGGTTTTTCAAGAACAAGAAGAAGAGTGTAAAATAGTTTTTCAACCACACTTTGACTGCCATATGGTGAACAAATGGTTTATATAGAGTAAATAGCGTTCAGACCACTACTATGTTTGTTGCATCCCAGCCAGTCGGATGGTCTCTGTATAGAGCGAAACGCGTCGTCTGCAATGGATACAGCAGTAAAAAGAGTCATTGAAATACTATTTATTATACACTCTTCTTCTTGAAAAAACCCTAAGCGGTTGAGTAATAACATAGTATCAAAAATATAATAGGCCTTTTACTAATTTCTTATGACAAGTATAATTAAGTGTCAACTAGTTATTTAAAATAAACGATTGACTAAATAATTTAGCTAACACTTTTTTTGATGAACTGGAACTTCAAGTGTTATCTGTGATCAACCACAAGTTATTATTGCTCATTTAATCCGCCAATGCCGCATTTTTACTAACAGCTCGAAAAATCCTTTCATGTTCAAAAGTTATTTATGGTTTATCGTGTCTTCCGTTATCTATTGTTGTTTCCCTGTTTACTATCTCGGATTGAAAATATAATATTTACTGTGGAACAGAAAAAAAACTAAAACTGCAAAATTAGATATTTAAACTTTATTTATTCTTCAATTGATCACAAATAAAACATGAATATACAAGTTAGTTTTGTTCATAAATAAAACACAATAAAAAAAAATTCCGTTTTGAATATAAACACATTATACACGCTGGATCGTATTAGTCAGCATGGAGACGAATGGTTTGACATTGTTTATTTGAAACTGTTATAAATTGTTGAACAATTCAACTACTAATTTACTGATTTCCATCTGACGTTACTTACTGTTTTTAATAAGTAACCCTTTTTAGCTATAGATTCTTCTTGAAAGGTGAGTATAAAAATCATTAAAAATAACGAGATCTTGCTAAATATAAATACATGTAAAAGAGTTAGTACTTTAATAACGATAGCTTTCTTTTCAAAATATTATTGTTGTTGGTTTCGAAAGAAATTATAAATTGTTTATGGAAACCGTAGTCTCGTATCACAGTATTATAATTATTACTAAATTTTATCAATAAGTTTTATCATCTAATTTTTCTCATAGTACTTCGTTGTTAACTTTCTAAGTGCCATTTGTTTCTTTTATACTGAACTTTTGTTATAAGAAATTTAAGGATATACAATAAATGTTTATTTAAACAGTGTTCAGTAGGTCTGTTGAAACCCAAGTTATAATTAGGCCTACTATTGTTGCCCTTCTACAACTTTCTTTTTAATGTGAATTGCTTCTAAACAACAGCACCCAACAAGCAGCACCTCAAGTCTCGGAAGCGGAAATGGCGATGGAAGTAAGTTGAAATTTTATGCAACAACTGAAATAAATCAGTATTTGTTTCTTAAAAGTATGAAATCACCAGAACTTGTGTTAGTTATCGAACTGTAAATACAGTGTGTGGAAAATTGTTTAAAAATTGAAAAAGTAAGTAACCGCTCTATCTCATCAGGATATAAATATAACTTTTCTTTAGAAAGTAAATGTTTTAAAGTTGCTTTGTGTTTCGCCATTTCAACTTCACCAGGAAAAGATAACAGTACTACAGCAAAGTTTAAACTACAACTGGTTGTCTAACAGTAAACATGGACACCCTAATTTTAAACTGATGTGCATTTGTGCACAAGTATACACGAAACGATAAGGAGTGACCTATCTGTAACAGTTTCGTTTGACAGCTTACGTAAACATTTTAGTTGTCACACAGAAACATAACTGACATACATAATGAATTATAACGAATTTTGTTTTAAAAAATAATGCTATAAAATGATAATAACTAAACTAAAATCCAAAAAATGTTTATTTTTCGATTATGATCAAAACTCCTTCAGTAGAAATCGGCTTGGTTTAACTTTTTTTTTGTAATGAGTTTTGATGTTTTATTTACCAACACTCAAAACTAGGAGAAGATGCGAAAAAAGAAAGAAGAAGAAGAAGCTATGTGGAGAGAATACATGGAACAACGACGAGTTCAACGACAGAAGGAAGAAGAAGAGTTGAAGAAGCTGAAGGAAAGACAGGTAACTTCTAAGAAAAGAAGATAGATAGACAAGACCCTGTTTAATTTCTTGAGTATCAAACTGAAGCACAATTAGTGTAAATAAGTTCGTTGGCAAAATGTAATAGACAAAAGTAAAAACAAGTAAATTATAACAGGAATAAGTAAGTGAAATACTAATATTTTTGTGACTATGATTCCTTTGTATTTTCTCTTCCAAATATTGAACATTCTTAACGTTCATTAGTTTATCTATATTCACGGGAAATTATTTTACATCTGTTGACTTGTTTCCATGTGATGTGTCAGAAAGATAACCAGTTTTTCACGACAGTTGGCCTAAAATTGAACTACTAGTACATAGTAATTAGAGGCTGATTTTAATTACAGTTTTTGACACGTAATAATATTAGGTACTTATAGTAAGTTTCTTCTTACGTTGTAAAATATTGACTAAATTTTTAACTTATTGCTTCTCTAATTTTGATCGTTGAAATTTTATTGGTAAATTAACAGACTATTTTCTTCAGTTAGGATGAACCTCTTAGATTAAATTCAACTCCACAGACCCGAAAGTGTGTCAACATTTTCATCATTGAAGTGACTAGTAGATTTAAAATGGTTTAACAAGGATAATCTGAATCGGTTTCTCAATATTTAACTGCAGATATTTTTCACAAATAATAGATCAGGGATTAATCAAGGTGTGAGGAGAGTTGACTTCAAGAAACTCTTCTAAATGATTATAATGGATCAGGGATTAATCAAGGTGTGAGGAGAGTTGACTTCAAGAAACTCTTCTAAATGATTATAATGGATCAGGGATGAATCAAGGTGTGCGGAGAGTTGACTTCAAGAAACTCTTCTAAATGATTATAAATAGTAAAACGCGAATAAAACGTAGAGAAGAAAACAATTACTCATGCCTAATTCTCTAATAATATTCCGTAGTTTTATAGAGGGCGGGTAACACCATAAAATACAGTTTGCCATATGTCATAATTTTATCTGTTATTTGGACAAAATTTCTCGAGATTTAGCATTCTCGGGAACCACTAGTAGTGCTTTGTAAACATTCAAAAATTGTGGTTCCGCCATTGGTTTGTTTTCTTTTTGCATAAGGCTTGAAAATCAGTTCACCTGACAGAACCAGATTCCAATTTAAATGCTCAAAGTAAATCACTAGACTTTGTCGAAGAACATACTGATTCCAATTTAAATGATCAAAGTCAATCACTAGACTTTGTCGACGAACATACTGAGAAATCGGAAAATTATCAAGCCAGAATTTTTTACTTTGACAGGCAAAACGAAAAGCCCAAAGATATGAACGGGAGAAGAAAATGATGGAGATGAAGAAACGACAAGAGGAACAAAGGGTTCGTGAGATGGTTAGTAATTGTTTTCTTATTTGTTGTCTGAAAACTCGAGAACTTCATTACTGAGCGTAAAACAAAAATTATGCAGGTTGTAAACTTGTATATATCAAAACTAAAGTTT